GTTGCCAGGCTGGTCGTGTCTGTACTTTGACCTTCTGAAAGACATGAAGGTAGGGTGTCAGACAGACTGGTTAAAAGAAGATGCTATTACAATGTATTGTAGGATCACAAAAAAGGTTCAAAGCTCAGCATAACCCAAAAGATTTTGGGCTATTTCTTTGTCTGTGGGTCCACAAAGTATAACTCTAAGCTTCTATAGTTTATGATGGTATGAACTCTTTCAACCATTAAATGTTCAGTGTGTAGGGTTTAGGGATTTAGGTCACCTTTGAATACCTTTGAAAGAGCTGTTTATATTTACATCATGGATGTATAAAGAGAACTGGATAAAGTGTTGGAGGCGGACCCCATCTATTCCAATGAAAACTGCTCAGTGGCACATGAAGCCAAAAAAGCAAGCTCACAACAGACTTCAGGGGCCAACTTCCAGTTTAGCACTTTTCTAATTTAAATGGGGATAAAATGATAAAATCATGCAGCACCTCTAGACCAGTGGTTCTCAAACCTTTACACCCCATACTACCTCAGAAAATATTAGACTCTGCAAGTACCACCACGATGACTGATGCTAAAATACAGTAGCATAGGTCTACCTTGTTCAGCCTTGGAAAACTTTAAACACAAAATATTCTCCTCCTGATGCATGCTTCTGTTCCTAATCGTTCTCAAATGGAGCCATGAATGCAGTGTTTTTAAACCATTTTACTTTAATTTACTATTTTGCCATCACAGTTTAGCTTGTAACATGGAAAAATGGGCACACTACATAGCAGGATGATAATCAAAACAAAATATTACAGGAAAGGCAAAACTTTTTTTTAAATTGCAGTTCAGGGATCTCATGGGTTATGTAAAATTTGTAGTATTTTGACAGCTCATATATATATTTGAATTAATACTACTGTATTTAATATTCTCGAAATTCCTTCACGTACCACTAGAAGGAGCTTGCATACCACTTGGGGTACTTGCACCAGAGTTTGAGAACCAGTGGTCTAGACTTTCAAGATTTTATTAGAATTTAATCATTGATTACAGATGCCCCTTTCCCAGTGTAAGTCTATAGGAAAAAGTTTTTGGGCCCAATGGCATCATGTGAAGAAAGCTAAAGCTGTAGTTACATGATTTGGCCACTATGTTATGGCTTCAAAGTCCAGCACGCGTCCTGGAGGTCTGATCTACATATAGAGTGGGCATCCTCTTTAACGAACTCCGCCATGTTTTACAGTACAACCATGGCTGCGGAGTTCTATTGTCTAATGTTGAAACTGTCTGTGCTTTTTGAGCTGAAATTTTTTTCAGACGCCCTGGTTCTGTTTATTCCTGTCGCTTGCTTTGAAACCTCTGCAATGCATGAAGAATGGTTGATTTGTGAACTTTAAAAGGGGAGGAGAATGTAAAGAAGCTGACAGTTTCTGGTAAATGACCGTCACTTATGACAACCTACCCAATGTTGGCTATATTGTATGTTGTTTCCAGTAAATAAAACAATATTAAAGGTGTTTTCTGTTTAAAAAAGTACAAACTGAGAGAAATAAGAAGTATCTGCCCATCTTTTAAATGTTTGACAGATTCAGTGTGGACAGAGAGCAACACTCGCTTGCTGTTAGGAAACAATGCAAAATTCATATGAGGCACACATTTCCCATAAACAGATTTTTTTAAAAAGTGTGTGCAGTGTGCCTGACACACAACAATGGCAGAGGAGATGCACAGCCAGCACACTGTCGAGTGTTTTCAGCATGGAAATATTAGACTCAGACACATGAGCTCAGCAAGATGACTCTGAAGTATTCTGAATACTTTATTTAGTTTGAGTAATCTAATGGAATATATTACAGATTACATTTTAGGGCATGTATTCAGTAATCTGTAGTGGACTATGTTTTAAAAGTAACCCTGCCAACACTGCTCAGAACAGACAAATCAAACACTTGGTCTACAGATAGGGAAGTTCGTGTTGGCTACCATAGTCCCCCCACACACTTGGCACACAACAAAAGTTTTGGCTCTGCAACTTCACTGCTAGATGCCACCAAACCTTGCACGCTTTTAAAGCTGCATAACATACTGTATTTACTTCATTTTATAGATTTATATTCTTGTGACAAACTAAATATTGCAATCAGTGCATCAGGCCATGTCACCTGCCAAAAATCTCTGATCACATTTGACATTTGTGAAAAATAATATACATTTAAATAGGACTACAAAGAAGAATCATAGTGAGCTGTTTTTTAAACTCACAGTATACTTAAAGGTTCATTTACAGGGATTGGACAAAATAACAGGAACACCACATGATGCAATCCAGTACAGCAGCCCTGCAATAATATTTTATTTTGGAATATAATTCAGTGAATACATAAATAAATAAAATGTTCAGTTTTGAGTGTGTGTGTGTATCATACTACTAGATGTTTCTATTATTTTGTCCACCCCAGAAAGTGTCAAAACTTAAACTCCAGGTCAGATGATACATTTTGGCTACTGTGAGTGCCTCCAAAATGAGCGTCCATTCTGTTTTGTATACAGTATCTTCCTACAGCTAGAGGAGCTGACGTGAATTCAAATCCTGTGGGACCAAAGACTTAGCCTTCAACAACGTTCCACAAAACATTTGGCAAAACAAGAGCCAAGAGCTACAGGGGGGAAGCTGACATCAGCAACATGCGCCATCAGAGATTAGTCACGACAGCGAGCCAGCAGTCCCCTGTCCCACACGTCCCCGCGGCTGGAGAATCAGGAAGGGACGTTATGATGGACACCTGTCGCAGCTCATCTCTGTCAGAGGAGTTCATACACTGTAGGCTCTGTGTGTGTGTGTGTGTGTGTGTGTGTGTGTGTGTACAGCTATGTTTAAGACAGAGGCCTGCAGGGAGTGAGAGGTAAAATGAGTGCCAAACATGGAACAGCTGCTAAATGGGGATCTGCAGAGGAGCAGGGAGTACACGGGCCTTAATGGAGCTACAGATTGCTCTGTGGCAACGCTGTCCGTCACTTTCAGCGGCAGCTCTCTCTGGGCTCTGTCATATTCCACTGATGTCGTATCCTACTTTGGAAATATTAGTCAGAGTGCGGCCTCCAGAGGGCCTGTCTGTAGAAATAATTCTGCAGGATTTATCGGAGGATGAAAACGCTTTCGAAAGCAACAAACACACACAGTGTTAGTTCAACAACACATAGATATTTATTGCTGCACAAATTAGCACCACTTTACATAAACCCCTTTATAATCCACTGCTCGTCTGCTCTTTCTATATGTACATGTTACTCACTTGTATTTACGTACTAATTTAAAAAGAGTTGGCACAGCGTCTAAAATATCAAATCTCTAAGACACACAGTGACGTTTTCTGTGGTCTTAGACAGATTTGGATACAAGAGCAGCCAACTGGTGCTGGATTTGCTGCTGAGCACCAAGACAGTCGTGCTCTACGTACGCTGTGGCACAGTGACTTCCCAGGGACTTAATACAATACATCCATAGCACTCACAGATGTGACAGGGGAATACATTGATCCTGGATTAGAGAGATGAGATTCACTGAGGTGACCAAAGCAGAGAGGAGTGGAGGATGGAGAGGAGGAGACTGGTATGATGTGTGAGAGAGAAATGGGAGAAGGAGGAGGGAGGGTACAAATCTGGACAGACAGGGTCAGAGTGAGAGAGAGAAAGCGTAATCAAGAGAAAAGGAGGAGGACAAGGAGAGACTGCTGAGGCTGAGTTGTGGCAGTGAGACGTCTTCTTCTGTTTTATTCCTGTGAAACAAGAAGATAAAAGTGCTGACAGAGAAGGTGGCAGCCAGAGCGGCCTCTGTCTCTCCTCCTTTACCCCCAGAGAGTGCAGGGATAGTGGGGTATAAATTCATACTGTCTAACAAATTAATGCCGGTCAGAGATTATGTATGATAAATATCTGTTGGGTTATGCTCTCAGACGGACTAGACATTAAAATCATGTCATGAACTCACAAGTGGTACAAGTGGAGGTGACCGAGAGGAGATGATAAAAAGGACAAGAGCACAGGAGGAAGCACATACTGGACATGTTATGAACTAAACCCTGAATTAATTGTCTTTCACTGTACACAAACAGGGGACCCTGAAGATCATCTGAGACTGGCATTAAGAGGTGATTACACAGTTGTGTGTTAGAGCAGGCAGATGGAGTCTTACATCACTTGGATAATGCTTGTGTGGCAATGACACACAAAGAGACAGACTATTAATGTCATCAGACTTAAGGGATCTGAAAGGGATAGTAGTCACCCCAGAATCAAAAATACATATTTTTTTCTCTCACCTGTAGACAACAATCTAGATTGATAAATAGCACTACAGGTAAGAGGAAATATATGTGGGCAATTTTTATATTTGGGTGTGAACTGCCCCTTAAAACTTGAGCATAACACAAATGATCTTAATTCATTATTTTAAGCCACAGCCTAAGCAACAAAGTCTTCATTATGTTACATACCTCCCCAAAATGTTGGAACATTCAGGAGTTTTATCAATGTGATTACATAGAGTTACAATAGATGAAAAACACGTGCGTAAATCGAAGACAAAAGACAGACAGAGCTGTATTACAGATGGCTTTTGGACTGTAGGTCTTTATTTTATCATGTAAAATTATTTTATGTGGTTGCATAGTTATATCTAAACATGCGCTGACTGATTTGGCCACTTGGGGCAGCACAACAAGCTGTAAACACAACATTGACGTATCACATTATAAAGTTGATGTGGCAAACAACTAGGGCTGCCACGATTAGTCGACTAATCGATGACTAATCGACTATTAAAATAATCGGTGACTATTTTAGTAGTTGACTAATCGGTTTGAGTCATTTTTCATAGAAAAGTACTATAAAAGTACCCCAAAATACTCTTACTGCAGCTTCTTACGTTCAGATATTGGCAGCTTTACACACTCTCCCGTGACAGTGAACTAAAACCCTTTGGCGTGAGTATGAAACAAGACAGTAGATGACGTAATTTTGGGGTTTGAGCGAGACAGGCCGAAATTTTTCAACATTTTAACACATTTTTCGATGAAATAATTAGTCAACTAATCGAAGAAATAATCGAAAGATTAGTCGACAGTGAAAATAATCGTGAGTGGCAGCCCTACAAACAACATGTTCTCATCCCAACTCATCAAATAATGCTGCTTTGTCAGAGGACTTAAATGTCAAAATATTACATACTATGTACCCTCCTGCGTCAGTTTTGGATGCTCTGGGTCAGAATGACAATTTATGCTTGTTACATTCATTGTGTTCTTTTCAAAATATACTTTGGATTTCACAGGACATCTAAATTTTCTGCTTGCACAAATGCTTACATGCATACAGGCATTTTCAAAATAAACTTAGAACATAGGTAAGGTTTAGGTTTATTTCCTTAAAAATACATCATGGTTGTTACCTATGTAATGCAACGTCACGTGACATGTCATGTGACATTCATCACTACTGTAACATGCTTAACATACTAGCACACTACTTTGTTATTGACAAAATAACTACACTGACATTTGGTATTACAAGGGAAACAAACAGAAGCCTCCAGGGTGAAACACAAGAGTTTGTTTGACCCCCTCAGCACCTGGCATCCACTGACAAAGCAGTGGCATGTGACAAGTTTGGTGGTGCTTGCTGCATATCATACTGCCGCGAAAGGTGCCTCTGTGCTTTGGTATATGATGCCACTATCGCTGACAAAGCGGCAGTATTTGATGAGTTGGAAATGGGAACAGGCTGTGCGAACGTTTTAACAAACAGTTGCCTATTTGCACATCCAGCAGATAAGGAGCAATATATGCATTCATTTGGAGTTGTGTTTCTGATCAACAGACCACTCTTAGTTCAATATTCACTCTCTTTTAGCTCTGTTTTTGGTCTCCATCGATTCCTTAAGGAAATATACAGTATGTCTCTTTAGCTGCTAAATGCTCCACTGTGTTTATCTACTAGCTGCTAACGGTGTCTGTGTTCTGTTTGGTGCTTGACAGGTAGACTATAGTAGGTTTTTAGAGCTTTATCATGCTGCTGCCCAATGTGGCTGAAAACAACACCATGAGAGCAGGAAGAGTGAATCAAAACAATAAAGTTACAGGCTGTAAAACCAAAACAAGGAGCTGAAAGATGCTAAAATGCTCTGTAGAGCTGAGTTGGTAAAAATTAGTATCTGTATGTTTGTCACCATTAGCGAAACCTCTCATCTATAAAGAATCATTTCATGTATTGTGAATATAAAAATCTTGATTAGCTTTAAGTTTATGTCAAACTATCTCTGAGTAGTTTTATATTATTAGAAAATCTAACCACAGTAATCATTTGTTCCTGCCAGTGTATCTGTAGTAAAATGGAAATAGATGTTTGTTCGATTTTTGCATTTGACCTGCTGTTTAGGACATGTTAGGCCACTTTTCATCCTCTGTGTTAATGTGCAAACATTCCTCGGTCACACTGACACATGTTCATATTGCGCAATTATGAATAACGTGGTAGTCAAACTGCAGGTCATCTTAACATTGGACTTCAGGACATGGGCTCTACTTTTTTTTATCATAGACTGAAGGAAGCATTTCATAGAGAGCTTTAAAGACTACAGCCTCTTATAAATGCTGTCTCACTGCTTTAATATGAGCGCAGACAGCTCGTGTTTATTTTTGGCAGCCGGGGTAATGTCCGTAGATCGCTGGTGAGGGGCTTGCAGATGACAGGGATGCCACAGATGCCAATGCCAGATTTACTATTTATATACAAGACTTTATGTATTATTTGAGCAGCAATATAAGCAGTGAGTATGTGAGTGTGTGTGTGTCTGTGTGTGTGTGTGTTGTGCTGTAGGTCAAGAATAGTGTGAGTGTCTTGGTTTATCAGGAATTGGCAGGACATACCAGTGGGCCCTGGCTGCTTGGGTGAGGCTGGCTGTTCTCCCAAAATCTATCAGAGGGCAGAAAGGGTGAGTTAAAGAGATGGGGTGTCACCTCAGTGGGGTGTGGCAGAGGGGACAGAGTGTTAAAATTGTTCACATTCCACAGTGCTTTCACATTGAATTTGGGGTGCCTGGGCACCTGGGATATCTGACTCACAACCATCTCTCCACATCAGTGTTTCCTGTCACTTTAAATATCAAATAAATGCATGAACAAAATCATGAACAGTGAAGTAGATTAATAACTTAAACCTGTTAAGCCATTATAATAATAATATGCTTCTATATGCTGCTACACTCGTGAGTTAGTGGGCACACGCGAGGAGACAAATTGTAGCCTCTGGGAGTAAATCAGGTCTGCCAAATACAGTCCAAAGTTGACAAAGGAGAACACCGTCACCACAACCTTGCTGTCCCATGGACACTTCCCCTGAGGGCACGATGACGGTCTCCATGGAGAGCCGTATTTTGTGTCAAAGCAGAACACTGGCCACACCACTGATGCACTCAGGTAGAGCAGAACTTCCAGGAGGGTGCACACCACCACAAAGCGGTCAAAGGGCATGCAGCGCACAGCCTTTGTACGTCCGCACACAGTTATGAAGACCACCACTGCAGTCACAGCAAAGCAGAAAGCGTAGACGGCAACGCAGAATATTGTGGCGGCATAATGGTTATACTCGCTCCCATTGGCCAGAGCTCCAAAGATGATGCAGGCCACAAAGCCCTGAACGACTTTGAGGAGACCAGAGACAGTGGACATGTAGCCCACCACAACTTGGCCTGGCCTGGCTCGGCACAAGGCCACCTCAGCCCCGTAGGCCAGAGTACCCAGGATGGAGCAGACAGTCACAGCGATGCGGAAGTTTCGGACATCGCAACCGGCATAGGGGCACTCAGATCGGACGAAGAAGAGCGGGTAGACCACAGAGGCGGTCACGTACCTGAAGAAGAACAAGACAGGCAAACATGAATGTAAATATGATGTCGTCACACCAGGAAAAAACATCTGGAGTGTCAACGTGATGTAAAATAAACCATGAGATGCAGCTGAAAGGTCTGAAAAAGCTCGTAGGTGGACCTTAAACTACAGTCCTTTTTGTACAAATATCTGTACTGATTGGTCTTTAATGGCCACTTGGGGGGCAGCACACCAACACTGACATATTATCACTTGAAAAAGTTTATATGGTGAACTTGAACTTGTAAGCTAACAGTGCTTTATTTACACCTCCAGCAGACAGGTAACACTACAGTTTATCCTCTTTAATTCACACCAAAATATGGCAACACAGCGTACATCCAGCTTCACTCTAAATCTTCTGTTAGTCTTTTACACCTGTAGGCTACCCCGCAAAACAATATCCTCCTGAGACCCTGTGTCCTCATATGAGGACATTACATTTTGGTTTACTGGACCTTGTACTTCATTCTGCTTTACTGAGGTCTCATTTGTGGACACTATTTTGTGCTATCTAGTGGTACTAAGACCATAATACACTAATCCATGTTAAAACAAGATGGCAGCCATCTCTGCCAAGTCAGTCTGCAGCTGACCGTGACACAAAAGTGGACAAGGTCCAAAAGTTAATCACATGTAATGGTTGAAACTTGTTTTTTTTATGATTAAAAACATTAGTACTATGATATGCCATTCAGATTTTGCAAATTTTAGCTGTGGTAACAAGGTAAAATGCTGTTAATTAGAAAGCACTCATTTGGGGACACTGAGACTTTATTATCATTAAAAGTGTTTAGTTTTTATAACTTTCAGGTTCTACTAATCCTAAATAGCTAGGAGAAATTAGAAATACATAACAAAAAAAAGGTTACAGTCTCAGGAGGATATCAGGTAGGAACTACAGTTACTCTCACTTGAGGCTAAGAGGACATAAAATAGCAACTTAATGATACACATGAAAATTAATTAAAAAAAAAAAAAAGATCAAAAGTGCTATGAATTATAATGGAATAATTACTATATGTAGTAATATGAATTAATTATGTAAGTCCAAAATAACAATGTGAAATTATTCCTGCAGAAATACTCATCTCATTCTGTAGCACCGTATGATAACTTAATTATAAAAAAAACAAAATATAATGTGTATCAACTATATACATTAGACAATATTAGTGTTCATTGAGAGTTGTGTCCACCTGATAAATGTTAGTCTAATATTCACTGTCCTTTTTGCCTTGTCTGGCTAGTGGCTAACTTTTTCCATCAGATGTTTTGTGATTTTTGTCATTTTATTTTGCTAATTTAATGGTCTGCCTCCCAAGAAGTGTAGAAGTGTTGCGCAGGCATATTTTTTCATTTTAACTCAGTGAATTAAGACATTTCAACCAAACTTGAGGTGGTAATTGTTGGAACAGTGGAAACACTATCCAAGAGTTTTCGTGAGTTTTATTTTGTGTATGTCAAATTTCAGTAGAGTGTGTTTTAAGATGAGTTAACAAAGCAGTTAGGAGAGGCTTAGTTTAGTGAAAGAGAAACTTGAATTCAGAATGTGTGTGGTTGTATTTTTCGGGTTTAATAAGGAAAATAGGTGTAAGAATGTTAACTTTCTTTAAATTTTGTGAGTTTATTTTATTGTACTAGTTGGCTTGGAGGTGAAATGCAGCCCTGTATTAGTTTGGAGCATGTGTCCAGGTATTACATGTTGGACCTTTAAGTATTTTTTATAACATATTCCCCTTTTTACAGTTTCTGTCCATCCACAACCAATGAAAATATGGTAATTACAACGTTTAACATTGTAGCTCAAAACTATATTAAGATGTTTGGAAATCTTTGTAACCTAACTTTGGTGCAACACTTTACTAGTGCTCAGTATACTTAGGATTAACAAGTTATTTATATGGCCTATATAATTAAAAGCTTGGTTTGGTTTATGTCTAATAATAGAAGTCAAAGAGACAAAGAATCTTTGCAGTGAATTTGAATAGTGGATTGTAGAGCTGCAACTATCTTTTATTTTCACTATTGATTAATCTGTGTGTTATTTTCTTGATTAACTGATTACTTTGGTCTATGAAATGTCAGAAAATGTTTCCCATTGTTTCCCAAAACCCAAAATGGCGTCCTGAAATGTCTTGTTTTGTCCACAACCCAATGACATTCAGTTTATATTCACAGAGGAACAAAGACACCTGAACATATTCACATCTAAAAGTTTGGATCAGAGAATTTTGACTTGTCCTTCTCAAGAAAAAAAAAAAAAAAGACTACAACTGATGAATCAGTCATCAAATTTTCTGGCGATTCATTTAATAGTTGGCAACAAATTGAATAATTCATTAATTGTTGCAGCTCTAGTGGAATTTTTGGACACACATTTGTTGAATGGAGGTGATGAAGAAGAAAGTGAAAGTGTAACCTTCCCATCGTTCTTATGCACTCACCAGGCTGAACACTTTCTTCCCCAAATGAAAAAGGTATGAAAGCACCTCATATGCCAATTTTGTTTGAACATCAGCACCACAAACTGAGGATCAGAGGAACACCTGAACATGTGACTTACATGAGCGTTGCGAAGGCAGCACATGTGACGGTGAGGTTGTCCCAGGATATCCTCAGGCAGCTGTGGAGACGAGCGGCGTCCAGGAAGAACACCACAACCGTCATGGTGAAGCAGAAGCACCAGGCTGCCATACAGAACACGCCTTGTGAACCGCTGTAGCCGGCACTGTGGGTCACCATCGCAATCACAGCACAGCCCATGGCCAGCTGACAAAGGCGGGCAGCACCCAGAGGTGAGCAGAGGGCCCTCTTGTTGAGGTATGGACCACCCTGTGTATCCATAACTGGGAGAGTGTAGGAGAGATAAATATTAAACACCCCTTTGCCAACAAAATTAGTAGACTAGAGCCGTGTACACTGTGTGTTTCTTTCTGTTTCTTTTTACAGGTGCATCGACATCACAGGCAGGCTGGAAAACAGGTTTGGAAAACTCCAGAAAGCAGTATTGACGCCAGTGAAAATTCCACACATATTCAGTCTCTCTTTCAAACTTGGTGCCGACTAAATTTGGATCGATGTTCGAGCGCTGCTGGGGTGGAGACGGACTGTATTTTGTGATAGCCCGTCACTGAATCTTGCCAAAACAGGGGCAAAGATTAGAGCTTCCACCTGGGGGTCGTATTCCCATTATTGCTGATCGAAGAGTCATTTGGGAATGCCGATGGTAACCTTTCCCATTTAGATACAAAAGCCATATGTGAGCGGGTGTTAGTAGGTTTTTTTATTCAGCAGGAAAGAGGCTCTATAGTCCAAGGGGTAAAGCCGTCAGGACCTTCTGGATGTCCAGTGGTAGCACAACTGAGGATGATATAAAGTTCAAACAGTTCAAAGGTTTAGCCCAAGTCCAAGCCAGTCCCACAAACCAAGAAGTAAGAGCCCTCCTGGTGTAAAAGATCATGACATCCAAAGATCAAATCCAACCTGTCAAGTCTTTTTTATTCCAGCGTCTTGTAACTTCCCCTGTTCTTGATGAATGTGTTGCAGTTTATCCAGACGCTCAGGTGTTTTAAGGTGCTGTTGGTGCCTTGTGTGCGTGGATGGGCTCTGGGTTTAGGGTGCATTATTCTGTCCCCATTCCTACAGGGTTGGGGACCCTTCTTTTTACAGACTTGGTGGGGACTTTCTGATGCTCTATTTCTGTGTTGATGAATCAGAGCATTTCAAAGACGTAAAGCATAACAAACACAGAGGAAATCACCCTCTGAGATCTTCTGTAAGAGCTCAAGCTGGCCAGGCAGACACGCACACTCACCTTTCTGCTGAGAGATCACAATGACTCATCAATCACAAATATCCAGACTCAGTACTGTGCACTGAAGTTATCCTCTCCAGTACTAAAACTTGTAGATCCTGTAAGTCCTGGATGTTTATGTTGCAGTTGTCAGTCGAGTGAAATCTACTGGGAAATAGCTGCTAAATGGTCCAGTCCAACCTGTCTGCTGAAATGGTCCAATCCAGAATCTTCTTGGATCAATCATCCAGATATGCTCGGTTTGTTTCTGTCGCTGTACAACACTGTGAATCCATGTGGCCACATGAGTCAAACACATCATGTGCTCCACTCAAATGTTAACTCTCATCTCCTTACATTCTCTCAGTCACACACTCTTCCTCACACACTTTCTCTTTCCTCACTGTCCCTCTCTGTGCTGTGAGGACGGGGTGCTGCCGGTCAGTCACACCAGAGTGGAAGTTATTTAGGGTTGGGCCATCACCACATGAGTGTTGGAGGGATGTGTACATGTGGTTGGGCGTGGAGTCGGGGCATGCAGACACATTACAGACCCCGTGGAATGAGGTGGGATAACTCATGTTATCGATGTCACAGAGTGTACAGATCAGGACCGATATAAGACAGTCAGGTGACACTTACTAAATTACACAGCTGGGAGTGAAGAAGGGACATGACCAGAGAGATGTTAGATCTGAGTGATAAAAAGCTGGAGCATATCAGTCCTTTTGCCTCCACAGACCACATGAACAGATTATTCTCCGTCTGTAACCATCAGATGAGTCAACACTGATGCACAAGCAGGCCTCTAATCTACAGAGCCCCAGAGAGTTTTATACAATTTATACACTATGTAACAATCATATCAAGAAATTTGTTAAAATGTATAAATTAACCAATAAATAGTGAAATAATTTCAGAAGTCAGTTAAACTCAGTGTCATTATAATAATCAGGTTCATCTACTGTCATTCGACATACGACACAGGGTTGCAAAATAAAATACATGTTGTAGTCCAAGAACAAAACTAACAATGTGACATGAAAGAAAAATTGGCTTTTAAAAAAAAGGAAATTTTGAAAATGATATGAAGAATATATATTGAAAAATGTTTCTTTATTTTCATGTTTTATTAATTATGTTTTTATTGGTTATTATGGAATTTTATCCATGTTATTATTTATTTTATATTATCTTATTTACATATTTAATTCTGGACACTGTGAGGCTCCATATTCAGACAGCATCATCCATACCGCAGAACTCATACTGATTATGTAAAGTTTTTGTAATAGTTATTTTTGACCACTTGGGGGCAGCATAACAAACTGTAAATACAACTTTAATGTAAAATCACCTTAGAAAATTGTTACGGCTAACGTGTTAACACACAGTTTTCTACTTACACAGCAAACATGCAGCAACATTAGCATTCATTCAATTCGTATAGATAGCTCCATTTTGGTCTCCACCAACTACTGAGAAAACTAGCAGTTATATTGTCCTTATGTTCACCATCTACTCGTTAACTATGACCTTGTCTACACAGACACAGGTGTATTTGAAAACATAGTTTTTTCTGTGTGTTTTAGATCACTGAAAACACAACTTTAGTTAAATCATTCCAGGGTGGAGATTTTCAGTCACTCTTAACTCTTACTTGGCTGTGTCACTACTTTCCCCGTGTTTTTCCGTATCCTGTCTCCCTTCCCTTGTCTGTCTTTCTGTGTGTCTGTGCTGTGGACGTGGCAACTCCCTCATTCTCCTGGGTTCCTGATTATGTTCAATTAACTTACCTGCTCTCTGCTGCTCACCTGAGAACCATCCAGTCATCAACCCTGCAGTAAACACCAGCTCTCCTCTCCAATCCTCGCTAGATCGTTCAGGCCAATGTTGAATTGTGAATTTAACTCTGAAGTGTGCGTGTGTACATTTATCGTGGATACTGACCTTGTGTTCTGTGTCATAGGATTACCACCTACCTTCCTGCTTGCCCGCCTGTTAGTTTTTCTGCCATGTTCCTAGCCAGCCAACCCCCCCTGCCACAAACCTACTCTCCTCAGCCTCCATCGCCTGGATTTTTCCCTACTGTCACATTCATTATCCTGGCAATAAAACCCCTTTTTTACAACTTTCCTCCTGAGTCTGTGTTGTGCGCTTGGGTTCACCTTGTTGATTGTAACGACTCTGTTCAGTGTTGACAGGGAAAACTGACTTTTGAGTTGAGATGTCAGAGTGTGCACCATCATCTACTTTGTAAATTAGCACAAATGAGGAGGCGTTTTCTGCAGTGTCCGATGTGGCCAAAATAGAGCTGGCTCTGACCTCGCTAATAGGACTTTAAAACTGTAACATTACCCTTCCACTATATTGAGGAACAGAGGTGTCAGAATGCGCTATGTAGGTCACTGCCACAGGTAGCCTTTTGGTAAAAGGATTTTCTCCAGGCTTCTGAATGGCCAATATTTTCTTGTTCTTGTTCTTCTTTGCATGACTTTAAGGGTTATAGGGCACTTATATATCTGTGCCTGTTGGTTTGGCACACTCTTGACAGCGCTTCAGTTGTGTATTTGTGTTTCCATTTGGACAGAGATTTTGTGTGTGGATGGCTTTTTTTCTGAGAACAATGGATGAAAAAAAAAACAGTTTTCAAAAATACTTGTGTCCGTGTGGACGAGACCTGCCTGCTGTTTGGTTTTGAGTGGGTAGCGCCCAGTGAGCTTAGCAGAGCTCTGCTGAAAGCAGCTGCCTGCTGCAACTGGAGACGAGACTGGTGAAACTGGCGAGTTTGGGGGCCAAACCAAAGCAATTATCAAAAACTGTCACAATGATAAGGGGGAGTCACAACAAGGGAAGGACCCAAACGCAAACTAAGAAGACAGACAAGATCGCATCATTGCCACAGCAGGTACACATAGGCTGACACGCAGGCAAGCAAAGGCAGGCAGGTTTGACCAATAGGGAAGTAGATAAAAAGAAATGAATCCAAATTAGACAGTAGGTCAGGCAGACAGGAGACAGGCAACAGAGGCTCAAACTTGATGACAGAAAACCACATTGCAACTTCAATGACGTGACAAGAGGACAAAGGACGTGGACCAGTATATGTAGTGAGTGACGCAGGTGAGGAGTTGGGTGGGGAAGGCAGGCACCTGCAGAGCAGATGGGGGGACAGGAAGCAGGTATGTAGATGGGTGGGGCAGTCAGGTGATGGGACAAGGAAGGAAAGACAGATGATGTAGAAAAGGAAATGGGGCCACAGAGGAGAGACGGAGAGACAGATCATGACAAAAATAGACTTAAAGACTTCATAAAAATGAGGAAAGCTATAAAACTGGGTGATTAAGAAAAAAACTGAAACAGACAAATGACAAAAACCCCACAGCAGAGAGGACCATAGTGACCTGGGACAATGAACACATATACTAAATAATGACCTGAGTAGTGGTGAAGGCTCTGTGACATATCTTATTTTGTCAGTAGGGAGCAAAATAATCTTGGTGCCAAATTTTAAAGGATCACATTGCACACCTTGGCTCATTTACGATAAATTACATATACTTTAAATGCTGCTTCCAAAATAATCATCTTGCATTGTATTATTTTCTACTTTATCTTCCTGTCTCATCACCACCAACAGCCTCAGTGAGTGGGCTTCTCCACGTCTGTCCTCAGGTCTCTGTCTCCACCTGCAGATGAGTGAGAGCCTGTGCTCTCTCTGCTCCACAACACTTCACACTCATTAATGTAAACGTCAAATGGGTGACTCGATGTGGTAAGGTCCACACTATGTGCTCTAATATTTTAATGGAGAAAAAAAAAATTAATATAGAAATAAATGTATAAAGATATAAAATAAATATAAAATGAATACAGAAATAAATAGCACTTTTTAATGTTCTTATTCCTTTTTGGGAAATCTTTCAATTTATTTATTTTATTTTGTAATCCTGCCATTTATTTATTCATTCATTTATTGATTTCCCTTGTAGTCCTGTCAATCTAACTAAAAAATGGGCCCAACCTGGGAGAAAAAGTAATGTTTCATAGTTTTTATTTGTCCGAATACTCTCCTATGTTGTATATTAAAAGTATAACTTCAAAGGTCACAAGCAAAGTTTTATTTTACAGTTACATGGTCTGGGTGAAATGATGTTGATATTGGAGGGTCTATGTACACTAATTCAACATATTTGGTGTCTTTTCTTAAGTTTTTGGGGTCAATATTTCAATAAAACACCTTTTAAGAGGATATTCTGATGTATTGTAGCTACCTGTGTTTGGGCTACTACTACCCAACAACCAATGGTGGGTTTTTTTGCCAAATTGTTCACTTACAGTTTGTGCCACGCTGCTCCTATGGGTGTGTCTGCATCTAAACTGGGTATAAATTATTCTGTATATATTTGATATCTCTAACGTCATCATTTTGTGTAAGTTTGAGAGTTATATAGGTTTGTTTGTTTGTATTTTTAAATCATTTGGGGGTACTAGTACCCCCTGAGTGCACACATACAGCCAGAACAGGTCATATCTGATGGTTACATGTGAAAGAACATCCTAACAAACTTATGTTTGGATATAAATTACATGAAAATATGGCGTTCAAAAGCAGGATATGCACTTCTTTGTCTGATGCTGTGACATAATGACCCCAAATTTCGAGCCCTGAATTGACCTTGATCCACTAAATATGTATATCCACAGAGTGACTGGACTATTGTCACTTTTGAGCCTTGACAGCTTTGTGACTTGAATGTAATAATCACAGACTATGGCTGAGACGCCTCCTTATTCTGGATATAGGCTAAGTAACATTAGCATGTAGGAGCACCCTGCTGTTTACCATTAAAATACACAAGACAGTTTTACATTAGTACGAAAACTTACACTGCATGTCTGCAGTGTATATTTAGAGAAAACTCAAAACAGGGTTTAATAAGTAATTTTTATCTGCTGCAAAGGATCATAAAAAGAGACTCTGAATCAACATCAGCCACATGATGTATTTTCCATCCAAAGCATCAGTCAGCTGTCACCTAGTCCCACACTGAAACTGTAATGCACATCAGACTGAGCATCGATCATGAAGCCTTACAAACTGTAAACTGTATTAAACAGCCTTAACACACACATACACAGTGTTGGTCAAACTGACATTTGACTGTTTCTCTGACCTGAAGAAGACGAGACTGCAGACATGAACGTCAACCTCCACCTTCAGCCTCTGCCAGCAGCCTGCACTGCCATAACTACCTGCAGATTCTTGCCCAAATCTCCACCTCCTGCTACCAGCCAATGAGGTCACAACCTCCACCTAAAGCCTCTGCTGGAACCATCCGCTCACACCTTCCAGCCATCCATTTTCATGTGCTTATCCAGGGCTGGGTCGTGAGAGAAGCAGGCTGAGCAAAGCACCGCAGACATCCTTCTCCCCAGCAACGCTTTCCAGCTCCTCATGGGGGACCCCGTGGTGTTCCCAGGCCAGATGAGATATGTAATCCCTCCAGCTTCTTCTAGGTCTGTCCCAGGGCCTCCTACCAGTGGGACATGCCTGAAACACCTCCAGCAAGAGGCGCCCAGGAGGCATCCTGATGATCAGATGCCCGAACCACCTCAACTGACACCTTTCGACACGAAGGAGCAGCGGCTCTACTCTGAGCTCCCTTCAGATGTCCGAGTTCCTTACCCTATCTCTAAGGCTGAGCACAGCCACCCTATGGAGGAAACTCATTTAGCCATTTGCGTCCATGATCTCATGACCATGACCACTCACACCTCCAACTGAATATTCTTACAGATAGCTACAACCTGATTTCACCACCTTCAGCCACAGTCTCTGCCAGCAACCTGTGGCTGCCTCCACCTTCAGGTTCATGCAGCCTACTAACAGCCTGATCCTCCACCTACAGTGTCCATCACTCATCAAATTCAAGGCCCATACTCAACTCACAATTTCTGGAAGACACCTGCAGCTCCACCTCCTGTCAACCTCCCCCCCGTGCACCCAGAAGGACCAAATTATTTGTTTAACTCACCTTTGTTCTGTTTAATTATGAATGCAGCTACACCTCCTGTCAACCTCCACCCCGTGCACCCAGAAGGACCAAATTATTTGTTTAACTCACCTTTGTTCTGTTTAATTATGAATTTAGTGATGGTGTGACTTTTATATTTCACTCATGTAAAGTTATGATCACAACCAATCAGTGCCAGAAGTAAGGAGCTAAACTAAAGCAGGATCTGAGCTGCATGTGAGGGGCATAATAACATACTTTCAGCCGTTTAGTTGTTTACCTTTTGTATCATTTCAGGCAAACAACGGCTGGTCAATCGATAGCGCCCCCAAAGGCATTATCAAATGTCTTGTAAACAGGACTTCATTTTACCAATGTCATAAATCACATAAAGATAATAAATTCACAAAACTGTCAAATTCAAATTTTGCTTTATTGGCTGAACTTAAGTTTATTGCTGTGCATCTGATTTCATATTCTGATATTTACCTCAGTAGAACTGAGACTGAGGTTTTGACTCTAATTTTTAGGCTGAATTTGTTTTTAACTGTTGTCTTGATATAATTAAATACAGTTCACAGAAATGTACCAAAACTTACTCAAATGTAGTGGAGAGATCAGCTGCAATAGATGTTGGTTCAGGGAACATCCTGAGGAATTCAACTCCACCTGGGATCTGATCATACAATACTTTATCAAATTAAAGACGCTCTCTATAGATTCAAAAATCTTGGGCTCCTGTCTCGCCCACTACTTGTTCATCTGTTTCCTTTTTCTTCTTAACACCCTCCTGTATGTTATTTATTCATTTTGTGTACATACTCCTTGAGTTATTAATACTGTAGGTGCTCTGTGACATTTGAGGCCGTGTGATTTGTTCTGTGTTTGGAGGATCTGGAGGATGAGGGAATGATTTAGGGGGAGAAAATAAACAAAACAATATGTGTATAGTGTATGATTGTGTTCTTTGTTCATCTGAGAATAACTTAATATATAGTTCACCTGTTTGTAAGCTTATGTGTTTTTTCATTAAACACTAACGATCCAACTGATTTTTCAAATGGAAATTATCTATTAGCAAAACCATTTCATTAAAACAAATACATGAATAGATAGATGTATAAAGCAGCATAAATTATTGAAATACTGAAAAGGGCTTAATTGGCATGAAAGTTTCAAGAACAATGTTGCCAAAGCATCAAAATACAGTTTGTTCAAATATTTGGACAGTGCACAGTAACAGCAACATAAACATTAAGGGTACATTAGGACTGACGTATTATTAGGGGGAATTGAGGGGGAGTGGGACAGTTTTTGAATTTCCTCCTTCTGTAAGCTTTCATGGCATAAATAAAAAAAAAATAGCTAGAGAAGTGAAACATTTCGGTGTCATTAAGATATGTAAATAAATTGGATTTAGATTTAACATTTACGTTTAACATTTGATATCTAGATTTAACTGTAACATTACATTTCAAATATTGCTGTAAATGTGATAAAAAGTGACTTTAAAAAATGCACACCAATTTTGAAACATCACTGGAGTCAAGCCTAAAGATTCAGAATGCAATCAGATGATGGAATTATGGAACATGCGACTTTACAAATAACCCTCACGGTGGCTCATTTCACCATTTCACCAGTAGCCTTCGCCGTGTGAACCACACATTTGTGAGTGACATACATCGAGACGATATCGTGGAAAATCCCAAACTCAACAGTTAGCGAACCGAGCCGTCAGTCAACGCAACAACTAACAGGTACGTAGTTCAACAGGTAGCTGGTTAGCTAACGTGGAAACCTGCAGTAACAGATGCATTTCTCACAGTTATGGCTAGCTCCTAACTTTCGTATACTTCTGTGTAGTATACTATGTGCACTATGTAGCCATGGGCGTAACGTTAGTGCGCAAATTTCGACAGGTTAGTGTTGTCTCAAACCAAACACTGCCGTTGTGCACTCACCGAAAATGACACTGCAAATTAGCTAGCTAGCAAACTAGCATTAGCGTTATCGTTATCGTTGGCGGTACCAAATCATTACAGACCGCTACATTAACCTAATAAACATACTGCTGGCTTATACCCGACAACAGTGTAGTGGTGCTTAGTGCAAAAAAACACATGTATTTGTACAATGCAGCGACGTTCACGGTCGCACAGTCCTCGGCCGCCATTTTGTTCCAAAGTCAAAGTTCATTTATTTGTTTCCCTTGGGAGAAATTTGAATTAGAGACAGGGTACTGCTGCATAAACAGCAAGAAACATACAAACAAAAATACATAAAAGACAGTGAAACATTAAGCATTAAAAAAACATACTGGTAACCAGATAGGGACCAATGTGCAAAAAGATATTTGCTCATGTGAGCTGTGCAATTTGCCATGCCTAACTTACTCATTGAAATTAAAGTGCTGGTACACATAAAGGTGCTAATACACCATACACAGAAAATCCGCTACGTAGCCAAGATGGCGGCCATTACGGGCGAGAAGTGTCCATGTTCCACACTCAACTTCTTGACGGTTTTGAGTGCACCATCCGGGTACTCGTAGTGCACTGCATTTTTCCATACTTCTCAGTGTGAACACACTTATGCACTCAAAATATTAAGTCTAAGTACGGAAGTGCGCGATATGAGAAGGTTACAGAAATGTTAGATTAGTATTTTATTTATTTTTTATAAGTGTCAGCTGTTTCTACAACATGTCCTTTCAGTCTGAAAGTATTAATATGACGTAAATTCATAATTTAACCGTAGAGCTTAAACTACAGAAGTATTGTCAGCAAAATGTAGTTAAATTACACAAAGTAGAAACACTCATTATGCTGCTTATCAGTCAAATGTTAATATATATAAACGATTATTACTGATGCATTTAAACGTGACACCAGTAAATGAATGTTGAAACTGGTCGAGGAGGATACTCATGTTACACAGTATAACTTAATGTCCCTATAAAACCAACTGTCAGGATAGTGTTGTGTGTAAAATCTTAATCTGCAAAGTAACTTAACTACAGCTGTTGTAATGGAGTAAAAAAAAAAAGTCCATTTGCCTCTGAAATGTGGTAAATATAAAGTAGCAAAAACTGCAAATACTCCACTAGCTTAAAGTTGCACTTGAGTAATGTTACACACTTAAATAAATCTACACCGCTGGTATTCAGGTGTTTAACTGCAGTAAATATACCAATGCCTCGATGTAAAAATACTTAATTTCACACATAAATGTCTGAGCTGCCTTCAAATTTTACTGAAGTAAAGTACAGAAATATAAATAAAAGCACTCATCATGCAGATTGGCTCCTTTCAAAGTGTCGTACTATTGTTAATGTTATAATTCTGGAGTTTTATTATTGATGCACATGTGAGCAGTGTTTTAATGTAATCGTGGGTCCAGGTGAAGTTAAATCCAAGACAAAGCAGCATCATACTTTCTTAACTGATCTAGTGGTGAGCTAAAACATACAATACATCCCTGAATTGGTATAATGTGATATATGTTACTTCACACAACAGTGTCTCCAAACCAGCTTCCTGAAACCACCAGACAGAGTCCGACACAGTCGTTCTTCTGGAGTTCAGAGACAACCAGCTGCAGAGAGACAGCACCTTCGACATCTCTGTATCCAAAATGGATCTCCATGCAGAAGTTGAACGTGCTTTAGAGGAGATGGAGTGGGGAGAGGTGGTCACCACTCTCATAGGCGCTGTTCATGAGTTACTGAATGGCACAACCAACCCTCCATCTCCTCCACCTACAACCCCTGCTCCTGTGTCTGCTGGGCTGGAACCCAACACCCAGCCTCAGCCAGCAGATAGCCAGTTTGGAGGATATGGTGACTGGATCCCACTAGGAGCAGATCATTATATGTCTGAGGAGCAACATCCATTAATGGCTGCTCCCACCATTTCTGATGGACCTCTGCATCAAGGGGACATCATGCAACCAGGTCATCTGCATTGTGGTGCAGGTGCATGTTGCCAGGGACAGGTATGATCCTAAGTATAAGTGAGGGAAAGGTATCATTAGGAGCAGATCAATACTGGTTCTAATCTTAATGGTGGAGGCTTTATGCATAAAAAACAAGAAAAGAAAAAAGGCAAAATTTAATGTGAGCTCACTCTGTTGTCCCTTCACGTGTTCACTGTGTGGCTCTGATGATGGATAAACTTCACAGCTCCCAATCAGTCATGATTCAAAAGTCATAACTCAAGACAGCTCAGTGCAGTGAAGCTGTCGAGTGACTGTAACTTTGTTCTGATTTAACACTTTCCTGGAAAAGAAACCAGACAAGAATACAGTTTTATGTAGATGACACACATGCTGATGGTAAAATTTCCATCCTTGTGATCAGCCTCCAATTATTGCTCTGTTGGATGTTGGTAATACAGTCTCCTCATCATCATACAAGTGATTTGGTGGAGACTTGAATACTCACGGATGACACACACAAAGCAAACAGAGTCTCTTATGGCTGGTTAACCATTGCTCTCTCTCCACAGTACCTGCCATATCTATGGCCTGTGGAAGACGTCCCGACCGCTGCAGGTGTCGGTCACCCTGCTGCTGCTCTTCCACAGACAGCAGCAGCCTTCAGTTACCCTGCTTCTCCTCCACAGCCAGTAAGACCCCAGATAACCTCACACACTCTGACTGTGAATTAAGTTCACTTAGCATGTTGCAGAATTTTACTTTCCAATGCGTCCCACTTCTTCTCAATGCCTTGAAGATATAATTTTGCATGAATCCACACTCCTGACCCCTGTGACCCTCAGCAGCTCCCAGTGTGTCATTATAACTCAAAGAGAGGGGAAACTCTGACCCCTGGTGGTCAGATGACACCACTGCAGCTTGTCTCATCGCCTGTTCTCTGTGTGTGTTTGTGTCTGTCCAGTTTACCAATGTGCCAGTGGTAAAGCTCGCTGAAAGCCAGAGCCTGCACTTTGTTGGAGTGCTGTAAGTTACACACACATGACTGCAAACACACACAACTTTTGAGCTTCTGTTTGTATCATCTCAGAAACAATCGGCTCTTATCTAATGTGTTAATCCGTCTCCCTTTGTCTGTGTAGTAACGGACAGCTGTTGTACGAGGTGATTGCAGGAGGTGACGCTCCTCCCGTCTATGCTGCTCCTCCACAGAACACCTTCAACTCAAAGTAAGTTTTCTACAGACAGTTTTAGTCAAAATGTACTTTTCTACAATGATGTTATTTGTAGCAGCTATTGTTTCATTTCAGGTGTATTTTCTCTACCAAAATGTTTAATATTATTATAATCAGTCTCTTTTAATGAGTTTTATTTTAACAACACAGCACAAACAGGGTTAATGTCTTTTATCATTATGCTTACTTAACATCTTTCCTCACAGTTTTATACAGCAGTAACATGAGCTCCTTCTGTTTTTTCTTGTAGAAAAAGAAAGCGCGACAGCCAACGTGACGATGATCGGCCGTACATAAAGAGGCCTCCAAACGCCTTCATGCTCTTTCTGAAAGAACAGAGGACACATGTTGAGGCGGAAGTTGCAGAGAGAGGCAGTGCGGCCGTGAATACGCTGCTGGGACAGAGAGTAAGTGTGTTTGGTCCGTATGTTTGAGACAAACTCTGTGTGTGTGTGTGTGTGTGTGTGTGTGTGTGTGTGTGTGTGTGCGCGCGCACTGATTGACAGTGTGTTTTCTTCTGTCCACAGTGGAAGTCACTGACGAAGGAGCAGCAGGCCAAATATTTCAGCCAGGCCAAAACAGAACGACTGCTCCATTCCCAGCAGCACCCTGAGTGGTCCACCCAGGACAACTATGTAAGTACACCCTGCTCACACACAACTCATACATGTTTCTATCACCACACACTCACAACACTAGAGCTGATCAAACACAGAGATTTTATCAGCTGATATCAGAGGTGGGAAGTCTAATGTGTCTTTTTGTGTTTAGGGCAAGAGGAGGAAGACACAGAGGAGCAAGGCCTCCAGGCTGGATTCTCTGAAAACAGTATCTACATCTCTGACCTCACCCCTTGCACTGACTCAAACATGGAGTCCACCCACTGAGACTCAAACACAATCTACCCACTGAGACTCAAACACAGTCCACCCACTGAGACTCAAACACAGTCTACCCACTGAGACTCAAACACAGTCTACCTACTGAGACTCAAACACAGTCCACCCAATGAGACTCAAACACAATCTACCCACTGAGACTCAAACACAGTCCACCCACTGAGACTCAAACACGGAGTCCACCCACTGAGACTCAAACACGGAGTCCGCCCACTGAGACTCAAACACGGAGTCCGCCCACTGAGACTCAAACACGGAGTCCGCCCACTGAGACTCAAACACGGAGTCCGCCCACTGAGACTCAAACACGGAATCCACCCACTGAGACTCAAACACAGTCCGCCCACTGAGACTCAAACACGGAGTCCGCCCACTGAGACTCAAACACGGAGTCCGCCCACTGAGACTCAAACACAGAGTCCGCCCACTGAGACTCAAACACACAGTCCGCCCACTGAGACTCAAACACGGAGTCCGCCCACTGAGACTCAAACACGGAGTCCGCCCACTGAGACTCAAACACGGAGTCCGCCCACTGAGACTCAAACACACAGTCCGCCCACTGAGACTCAAACACGGAGTCCGCCCACTGAGACTCAAACACGGAGTCCGCCCACTGAGACTCAAACACGGAGTCCGCCCACTGAGACTCAAACACGCAGTCCGCCCACTGAGACTCAAACACGGAGTCCACCCACTGAGACTCAAACACACAGTCCACCCACTGAGACTCAAACACACAGTCCGCCCACTGAGACTCAAACACGGAGTCCGCCCACTGAGACTCAAACACGGAGTCCGCCCACTGAGACTCAAACACGGAGTCCACCCACTGAGACTCAAACACAGTCCACCCACTGAGACTCAAACACGGAGTCCACCCACTGAGACTCAAACACAGTCTACCCACTGAGACTCAAACACGGAGTCCACCCACTGAGACTCAAACACAGTCTACCCACTGAGACTCAAACACGGAGTCCACCCACTGAGACTCAAACACAGTCCGCCCACTGAGACTCAAACACGGAGTCCGCCCACTGAGACTCAAACACGGAGTCCGCCCACTGAGACTCAAACACGGAGTCCACCCACTGAGACTCAAACACAGTCTACCCACTGAGACTCAAACACGGAGTCCACCCACTGAGACTCAAACACAGTCTACCCACTGAGACTCAAACACGGAGTCCACCCACTGAGACTCAAACACAGTCCGCCCACTGAGACTCAAACACGGAGTCCGCCCACTGAGACTCAAACACGGAGTCCGCCCACTGAGACTCAAACACGGATTCCACCCACTGAGACTCAAACACAGAGTCCGCCCACTGAGACTCAAACACAGAGTCCGCCCACTGAGACTCAAACACGGAATCTACCCACTGACACTCAAACACGGAGTCCGTCCACTGAGAGGACGTTGGAGGAAAGGTGTCACCCAACGAAGGTGATGCTGTGCAGGCCCACTGTTCAGCTTCAGCTGCCCTCCTCTCCACGCATGGACACCTTCACTGCTGATCTTAATCAGATGTTAGAAAATTGGTATTTTTGGACTTGATGTTGAAGATGTGTGCTGCTTGCTTTGTTGTCTGTACCTGATGTCAGACACATCTAACTGTTTGAGTCATTAAGACTTTCTTAAGCAGAGCTGTAATGTTGAGCATTGATGGATGAACTTTGACGTTTCACTGAAGCTGAAGCTGTGCAGGCCCACTGCACAGCTTCAGCTTCACACATGGACATCTTCACTGTGGATCTCAATCAACTTAATTACGAAAACAAACAAAAAAAGAATAAATAATAATTCACTGACAGCATTTTGACTGAATCTATTTTATTTCTGAACAGATTTTTACATTTAAGGAATGTGCTTTGGTGTAAATGGTGTATAACAATGTATAACATGCAGAAATGTGTGACATTGCACAAGTAATGTTCAGGGGTTCACAGTACGAAGTATAACAAGAATGGTCAGTGTACAGAGATGTAGTGCCAATGATGTGTGTTATCTGTGGGATGAGAGTCCATGTCAGTGGGGTCCTGGGCCTTGTTGATGAGACCAGCTACAGTTGGGAAGAAACTGACGGACCGCAGCCTCCTGCCAGAGGTGAGTGTTTCAGAGAGTTTGTGTTCAGAGTGAAAGGGGTCGGCTGCAACCTCTCCTGCCCACATCAGGGTCCTGGAGACGTACAGGTCCAGCAGAGACAGCAAACTGCTCTTTGATGAAGGAGCTGATGTTCAGCTCCCACTTGAGGTCTTGGGTGATTATAGCAGAGACCAAATTAACTGTGCATCAACTACAGGAACATTTGTCTAAAAAAATATATAACAGCAGTCACAGAGTACAGTTGTGGTCTTGAGGAACCACTTGTCATTGCTACTGCTGCCACCAGGGACCGCTATTGTAACAAAGCAGCAGTGCTGCAGCTAAAACAGACCCAGAGGCCCCATGTGCTGACACCACAACTTTTCATTACAGCCTTTGAATGTCCAACTTTGTCTATATAATAAACAAATGAGCAACTACGAGCCAGCAGTTACTAGTGAATATTTTGTCTTCACATAAATCATGGAAATAATTTTGAGGAATTCCATATTTCAAGGCAGTTTATATGAGTAAGTTAAGTAGTGTGACGCTGAGTTTAAAGACTGAGTTTCAGCTATAAGTTAAGCTTCCCTCACTGACACACAACCAACACAAACTCCATTAACAGCCTCTGTAAGTGCCTGTCGCTTTATTTGGCATCAAAGACTCCAGGAGCAGTTGGAAGTAATTAATTTGCAAGAGGGAGACAGAAAGTGTGTGTGTGTGTGTGTGACAAGAGGATGGAATGCACTCCTCCCTCATACTTCCACAACACACACACACAGTCCTGCTCCCCTCTGTGTTCGGCCTCTTTTTGAAGTTCCTCCTGCAGCTAAAGAGTGAATGAGGGGGCAGCTGGAGAGTAAAAACAGAGGAAGTGTGTGTGTGTATGCAATGGTGACAACATGTGAAAATATGTACACACGCTGCTTGTTTACTATTACCTGTGGACGGTCAGATAAGTGAGTCGGGGCATATGAGAGTCAGATGCTGTGTGAATTTGTGTATCATGAGGTCTGTTAGATCAAAGCTGTGGTCTCCACGGTTACAGGGAGGCACCTGAAAAATGTTGAGCTGCTTTAACGTCACCATTAACTTACACACAAACTCACACAGACAAATACAGTGCCCCTGATATGACTGTGACGGATCTGCACACTTGTTTTAGATGTTACCTTAAATACATCCCATCATATCTCTAATACTTTACCTCATTGTCCTTAAAATACAAAAACTGTTTCTGTACAAGCTGTTTCAACATATACTGCAGAGCTGCACTACCCTGCAAAGGCAAAGAGTAAAAACTACAGAAACAGAAGTTGAGAAATAGATATTTAAAGTTTTAACGCTGGCCAGCAAACTGCTGAACAGTTGGATTTCATACCTTGATTTTATACCATTTTAGGCTGATGATTGTAACCTGCAACCTGCAATACCACAATACTTACATAATAGCCTGCCTTTAAAAATGCAGATACTGTAAGCCAGGGATACTCAACTTGCTTTACCCAGGGGCCATTTTACAAAATGACAGGAGGCCAGGGTCCAGTCACAGCAGCCCTGCACATGTACACAGGGGCGTTTCTAGGATTTGAAGACATTAGAGGGATAGTGGACCTTCATCGTTGGTCCAGGGGATCCTCTACCATGTTTTTAGATATTGAAGATGTAATTTAATGCTTTTTATGCATTCTGTAAATTAAAAGTAAAAAACAAACGAACTGTGAATTAGAAAATAGTCGGGGGCCAGAAGTTGACTATCACTGCTGTATGATATCTTTATTTTGCTTCCAGTTTTCACAGGTTTCAAAGGTCCAGTTTATAAGAATTAGGGGGATTTAGTGGTATCTAGTGGTGAGGATGGCAGCTTGCAACCAGCTGAAACTTTTGCATGAGTTTAGCTGGGGTTTTGTTACCATGATGATTGACTCCTGCTGCTAAAAAATAGCTAAAACTTAGTCATAAATACAAGCTATATATCCTGAGTTCGCAATGTTTAATTTGTCCCCAAAGACAAGGCAATAATGAGTCAGTTAAGAAACAAACCTGTGGTGGTGTGTTCAGAGTTGGCTCTTGGCCTTTAAACTAACTGGATGATAGCATATAATATAAACTTCAACACAATATAAGTCACTTTTAGTACAACAATCTTTATTGAATTTGCACCACATTTTCACCTGCTGAATAAAAGCAGCCTCTTCGCCACTCTCTCCTCCCAGAGACCAGCCAGAATAAAACACAGCAATCCTCTCAGCAAGGAAATACTCACTATTTACTCAGTCATTAATCTCATTACTTTGACCGTTTTAAAACCTAAGGCTTCTTCCATGATGGATTTAGTCCGCTGTTGTCTCAAAATTGAGCCTTTATCAAAAAAGCAGCAAAGGTTTAAGTGCTCTACTCAGTCCGCAGCTTGTCAGACGTCAGTCATGGCAGGTCCTCCCATCAACACAGCAGCAGCAGCGTTATTTCTTACCTGTGCAGGAAACAGGAGACAGTAATTAAAAGCTCTGCTGATCAACAGTAAATACAAGTTAACAGTGTTAACAGTTAGCATTGTAGTATCAAAGTGTATAGTATCATGTTGGATTACACAATAGTTTACTCATTGTGTCTTGTCACTACATGAGACAAAACAGAAACCAGAGATCTCTCCACTGACACTGTCCAGATGTTCTGCTGTAACCAACATGCTGCAATTTATAAACATTTTGGTTTTTTAAATGAATTATTCTGTAAAACTGGGGAAGAGCTTGTACACACGACAAGAAATCCATGCATCGAGTCCCGCTAAATTTAAAGGAACAGGTCAACATTTTGGAATTGCTTGAGGCATATTTACTTTCTTTCTGAGGGTTTGGTGAGAAGATCAATACCACTCTCATGTCGGTCCATTAGCTACGATGTCACCGCACAGGCCAAGGAGTAGTGCGGTATGTAACCCCCATCAAAACCACAACATGACATTTTTACACTTGGTTTTTGAACAAATCAAACCAACGATATATATCACCTTAATTAGCAAGCTTTAGAGGTACTGGTTCTCTTTTTTTCTGCCTTAGAACAGAGCCAGGTGTCTTCCCCTGATATAAGTCTGTATGTTGAGCTAAGCTAACAGTCTCATGGCTGTACCTGGAGACAGAAAGAGTGACATTAATCTTCTCACATGACTCGCAGCAACAAAGCCAATGAGCGTATTTCCCCAGTGTACAACTATGCCTTTAAATGTGCATTCATTTAAAGCTGGGGTAGGTGATTTGATTTTGGCTTCACTGGGCAAAAACCCCATAATAAACTTTGAGCATATTGTAATTTCAGTGGTCTGAGAAAAACACTAGACTTCAGCGCTACTTTTGG